CTAAAATTTTTTCTTAGTCATCCTTCTTCTTTGGTTTCTGAGTTTGTAGTGGTAGAAAATTTAAGATCTGGAAGAGGAATGAATTTATGTTGAATAAATATGATTTTTGAGGTTGTCAGTAGTATAATAAATGTTCTAGAGTATAAATTTATTGATGATCTTTGAATCTGTGGCTTATGGATCAAATTCTAAACTAGATCTAAAAATATATGTTGATTTATTGAAGTTTAGATGATTATTTGGGATGAGGAATGAATTATTATGATTATAAGATTATGATTCTAAGCCAGAGACTCAATTTTTAATTTTTGGATATTTTAGGTATGAATTTATGAAATAAAAAGAAAATTTTGATAATAGAAATTTGTTTAGAAGTTTATTTTTAGATTATTAATGTTTATTGATAATTAAAAGAGGAGTTAAAAATTTTACTTAATAGTATTAACTATAGATTTGTATTAAGATTGAGATTAGGAATTATGTTATATTTTTAATTCTATTATTAGAATTATTTATTAGTTTCAAAAATTAAAACTAATATTTATAAATAATATGTTATTTGTAGATTGTATTACTGGTGAAGATTGTGGTGAGAGAGAAATTTTAAGAAATAATTTATTGAAAAAGCCACAAGGTAACCATGCTTTTAATTGTGATTACTGTTACTTCATGTTAATTGGGTGATTATTGAAAAAATTATGAATTTTGTAATATTGTATAATTGTGCAATATTATTATGAATTTGTTTAATTATTGTGGGACGTGTTGGGAGACTTGCTATTATTATTGTATTTATGTGCCACGTGGTACGCCCCTATTGGAGCTCAATAGGTGGCTTGTAAGGGCTCGGGCTAATCTACCTTTGGCCGGGTAATTTAGCACCGAGTGAGGGCTACGGCTCGAGGTTAATGGAGGGATATAAGGATGGTTGTTTGTGTGTATTGTAATATTTCTTATATTTATTGAAATTATATTATTTTTAATTTTCACTTAGTAAGCACACACTTAACTGTTTGTATGCACTATCATAAATTGGCTTTAGTTACTGGGACTTTTGAGTCTCATTATGTGGTTAACAATTTTCAGGAGAAGAGCCACGAGTGACACGTGGAGGAGTCCCAGAGGCTTAGTGGTATAGATCCACTGTCTCTTTTGGGTATTTAATTTATGATTTATAATGTGTTATATTGCCAATATTAGGGCTTTTTGTTTATTGTCAATTATATGAATATATAAATGTAATCATGCTTTTCAAACTATTTCTATTTTTGGTACAATTTGGATGACTGTAATTTTAATATTTGGTTTACTTTGGATTGGTTAAAATGGTATGATTATAAGGCCAAATAACTGGCTTGTGTTGAAAATTTATTAAATTACTTATTTTACTTGTTGGGAGTATAAGGATGGACAAATGTGATTTAGCCTAATGGCATGTGGAAGGTAAAAATTTATCTGAAATGTTATAGTGTGTGAGTTGAAGCCAATTATAAAATATTTTATATTGAAATTATTGATATAAAAATGTGTTGGGTGGTTGTAACCCAACTATGATTGAGTTAAATTATTTTAAAAAAAAAATTTGGTGTGTTACACATTGTCATATTTTTAATATTTAAAATGTATTTTAATATTAATTTTAAAATTTTGTGACCCACATATTTTTTTAATTTTTTTTGAGTCTTCTATATCTTTTAAGTATTTAAAAAATATATTTTATATTTCTAAAAATTTGATAAATGATAAATTACAATAACATTGTACAATCCATATAATTGATCCTACTTTATGGAATGAGATTCGTTGTTATGGTATATTTTTTATAAAATAAAAATTAAATAATTTTAAAGTAAAATTAAAATTAATTTTAAAAATAAAAAATTGATAGTTCATGTATTTAGATCAGGCTTGATTATTCAAACTTTTCTATAAGTTTGGATTTACATGAGATGGTCCAAATTGAACCCAATCCAAAAATACTTACCTGCCTAAATTACCTACTTTAATACAAATTGTTGCAAGTTGTTGAAGATGAATCGGAAGGTAGTGGAAGCTTTTTTTTTTCCCCCCCTAACTTTCAGAAGGAGATAGCCTTACTGCAGAGTTGTGGGGAAGATTGATAGGTCTTCAAAGGAGCCTGGGATCATAAGTGACGCTATGTTGAGTTCATGGGGGCAAATGCACACCCTGGACATGAAGAAAATTACAAGGGTCATAAGTTTCACTACTTTGCATCCTTCACCTAAATATTTCTCACATCCTAACTTTGAAAATATTGGGTTTTGAAAAAATTTTAAATATGTTCAACCGAAGGCCAAAAAATTTAATCCAAAATTTTGATAAGAAAAATTTAATTGAATTTGCCAAGTTCTATCTATGTGAGTTTTCTTCCTTTAATTTAATGATACTTGATAATCAACTTGAAACTTAATATGCAAAGCAATACTATATTTGCATTATTAAAAGGAATTGGTAGTCTTGCAAAAAAAAAAAAAAATTGGTATAAACAAGAAGACATATAGTTTATCTCTTCATTTATGCTCTCTTGAAGTTATTAATAATATTATCGATTGCCACAGCAATTATAAGGAGTCTTTTCTGTTGCAAAATCAATTGCAAAATCATATAGGAAATTCATTAACGAATAATTGTTTAATAACTTATATTAAAAAAATTATTTTTATTAGCATCGACAATAAGATAATTGCTAAATGATTTCAAAATATCAAGCCATGCAGGATATAATAGTAAGATATGTACTTGCTTTTTTAAAAAAATTATTAAATTATTTTTAAATTATTAATTTAAAAATATTATACCCTTAGTTGTCTTGCACCGGGACTGGGTTTAGAGAAGTAAAACTTTTTAGTGATGCAGCAGAGGTCATCCAAGCTATCAGATCGATAGATTAGAAGTTGCATGTAGATACTTCGATTGAGGAAATTAACCAGATGCTCCAAGAGGAAATTGACCATGCTACTTGTCTTCAACTGATTTCTGGACAAATGGTCACAGAGCATCTTCAAGAGGATGGAGTCCACGTAATTACTGCTCCATTTTATTGCTTTATTTTGGTTTCTATTTTTTCTTTTTTCGATGTATCCAAAAAAGTATACTATTCACATTAGCTTATGCATCATACAAGGATTTAATTATATGAGCAGTTTCAAAAAAAAAAAATCGATATAAATAACAAAGGTGATTGGGATTTTACATCTAAGGTTATTAAATAAAATTTTCCAACTTTATTCAGGATCCGAGTGAGTGTATCCCTCACAATATTTCAATATACATATGTGTGAACAAAAAATAATAATAACATTTTTTTATAACAAAATTTAAGCAAGCGATCGAAATCACGTGTTTCATTTTGGCCCGGAAAAAAAAGATATAACATTTTTAATAATCCTAACCTGACTTCGCATCGATTCCTCGACTGATCTATAACAACACCCTACGTATCCTATGACTAAACAATATGTCTCCATGTCTCTAGCTTTAGCTTCAGTTCCAGCTTTCGCATTAAAAGGACATATTATCGTTTAATTAAAAGGGCAAAAAAAAGAGCGTTTCTTTTTAATCACTTTTTTAATTACTGGATTATTATAATAATTAGGCTTTTGACTTTTGACACCCTACGCTTCAAGTCTCCAAGAACTTGATGCCACCTATATATATATATATATATATATAGCAGATCATTATCAACGTGCTCAGAATGAAACTACAACTTTTTATTTCTTTCCTTACTTTAATTCAATCAAATAAAGGGCAACGTTACTGTTTGGTTTGAATGGATCGAGAAGTGAGAAGAAAATAAGAAAATTTAAAAAAAATAATTTTTTTATTATTTTTAAAATTTTTTCCTCTAGTTTTCCTTCCTTCTTTTTTCCCAAACAAAAGGTATATTCAAATAAAAACTTAAACATGTTGGTAAAAAAAAAATTAAACATACATCTCACTGACAAAACCAAGTCAAGTTTAAGAAATGAGTTGTATTTATGGTTTATAAACAATGCAACCTTTCATATATTTAATATTTTATATTGATTAATTAAGATACGTCCTGTATATACATTAGTGAACAATGCATCACTGCCTTGTTTTAATATTTTAAATAAAGTATAAAAAATTTCCTGCCAAAAAAATAGAAAAAATAATTTTGTCTACTTTAATTTAGAGCTAGTGATTCAAGTGAGCCAAGTTTATGTAGGCCGGACTCATTCGAATCGGACTTAAAATATCTTATCATATGGAAAAAACCCATATAACTAAGCTCGACCTTAATTCCTTAAGTTTTTAAATTTATTTGGGCTGACTCGAATACCCAAATTATCAAATATTTTTATTTTTTATGTAATTTCAATTTTTATTTAAAAAATTAATATTTTTAATTTTATATTATTTTATTAATAATAAAAAAGGAATTCAAATGAAGCTCATTCGGGTTTGCGCTTGGCTTGGATTTATTCAAATTTATTCGGGTGGCCCGAATAAACTTAAGTAAAAAAAAATTCTTTTAATTTTCCAAGCTTAGCCATAAGATTTTTTAAATTTATTTGGAATGGTCCATCAATCTTAGCTCAAATTACCGTATCTAAACAACCCATTCATTGGTGGAATACATTCAAATAAAAAAATTTCAATTCAAATTTCACATGTAAAATCTACATCCAACTCATCACAGATAATTTTTTTTAAAAAAAGTCACATTTATAAGTTAAATATTAAGATGACTTATCATGAACTCTATTTTTTTTTATTAATTGGCCAATAAAGTGGATATTCTGTTCATAACTTTGAAAATAGGAAACTTGCTATATATTTTTTTATATAATATGTCAGTCTTCTTATTCGTGCTCCCACAAATTTTAAACAAAGTGCATATATTTTGAACCATCAAATATTATGCCCAGCCACCACTAGTGTTCTAGGATTCTTTCTTTCATCTATAAAAAAGGAGACACATGACAAGTTGGCATGCTCAATCTCACAAAACCTCTATTCACAGGGCAAATTAAAGTATCAGATTTTCAGTTCTACATATACAGAACTCGATAACAATGGCAGGTTCTGTTCATCATCACAGAGTAGTGCAGCCACAACACATTAATGGCAAGGCTAACAAAAATAACATGTATATCGAATCACCATACTATGGTGGACATGGCTTCTATTACAATCCTGTGGTTCATCAAAACATCGAAGCTCTCACTACTCCTCAATGTGCTGTTTTCAATGGCTTAGGTAATGTATCTTCTTTCTTCATTTAACTACATTAATAATTATAAGCTCTTGTTTAATAAAGACCTTTTACATCAATTTTAAAGAACTTGAATATTTATTTTAATTTTATTTATAAAGTACTTTTATAATTTTTGTATTCATATTTATTCTTTTACCCCTATTAAATAATAGAATATTTTATTTTTAAAATATATATTTTATAAGAATAAAATTAAAAACTTGTTGAATTTTTGGATAAAGTTAACGAGGTTTAAAGTTTTTCATGATTTTAATAAAACATGCTAGAAGTTAATTAATTATAAATAGGACTAGATGAAATATCTTAACTATGAAAATACATGTATAGAAAATATAATTCAGTCAATTTAACATGCCACTCGCTCTGATTCTCAACAAAAAAACACTATTTAAAAGTATTTTTTTGGTACAAAATACAAATCATCTTATAATATTAAATAACTTATTTTCAATTTTATCTTTTATTTTATTCCATAGCCCCGTACTTTGAAAAACTCAGGGTTATTATCACTTTTCACATTAACTAATCCAAACTTCACTATATGAGATCATTACTATCAACGGTAACTTTATAGAATGTTATTGATATATTTATTTAACGTAACTGTATATCAAAGAATTTGAACTCTTGAAACCTCAGGATAAATCAATTAAACTTCCTCATCCAGTTAAACCAAATGGCCCTTGATTTTTTATACATTGTAGGTTTTCTAAAAAAAAAAAACATATACTGTACCTGTAGGTTACATAATGTACTTTGAGAAACTCTGATATTAATATAATTAATAAATATAAAATTAGAACATCTGAATTTTAGAAGATTAATCATAAAGCAATTTTTCTTAAAATGCCTAAATTAATTAGAAATAACTTATATTTAAAACCAAAATAAGTATTTGGTCTCACACAATCTTCACTCAAAACGTTTCCAATTTTAATTTCTCAATTAAGAAAAAAATGGTTTATTTGATCCCTTCATTGAAATACAAAGTTTGTTGCATGCAGGCGTGAGTGGGAATGGTTACTCATCCGCTCAACCGCCGGTTCAATATCAAAAGCATTGTAATAGACCATATAGTGCCAACCGGAGCAACGGTTCAGCCACATGGGTTCAAGTGGGTCCGAACCCATATTACATGAACCGAGGCACCCAAACCATTCAAGGCGATGTGATTCAGCGAGGTACCTTCAATGGACGTGGCAAGGGAGCTAGGCTTTGTGGCCATTTCTCGGTCTCTGGTGATATTAACTAATTAAGTAACTTAATTAATTAATCCAATTTAATACCTAAACTGTTTGGCAGTCATGAAGATATTTAATTAAATGAAATAAAAACTATGTAATAATTCATGAATCGGTCTGGAATTTCTGGAGTTATTGATTGAGCAGTGTACGTGTGTGGGTGATTGTACTGAATTTGTATAACTACTTAAAATATGAGTTTGTGTTGGCTATTGGCCTTGTTTTCTTTTCTTTTCTTTTTTAAAATTCTGTTATATCGATTGCAAAAGACAAAAGTAAGATTATATCTAAATTTCATATAAAAAAATTAATTATTATAAAATTATTAATAACAATTGTGTTGTCAATGATGTTAGTTCAATTATCAATGAATCTTATAGTAATTAATTTTTTTATACAGAACTTGAATGTAATTCTCCTAAAGACAAATCTTTTTCGGGACATGGAAGGCAAAGGTTAAACCTTTTAGAAATGTATAACAAATTCTAAAGAAAAAAAAATATATATATATACATATAAACTACCTTATTTCTTATGTTAACTTGTCAAAATCATAATAAATTGTATAAAAATGAGTAGAAGAAAAAAAAAAGTAAGGCATTAATAAAGCTTTAGAAGATAGAAGACACGACAGTTAAGGTAGACATCCAACAAAATTATTAATCATTTTGTTTATAAAATATCCAATTCATTATAATCTTACGAACTGAATAATAGAATTAATAGAGCTATACAAACCAACATGTTTAATTCCATCAGTGACAATAAAGATTAACGTTGAAAATAAATATTACAGTAAAACTTAAGGGACTAAAACAACATAACATAAAGACTAACAACAAAACATGCTAAACATTAAATATAGGATGCCAACAATTATATTTTGCCTAATGTAAATTATATATAGCAAAAACTTTAACAAGCACATATTATACAAATCAAGATAAGGGGCCAATATTTTCAAGCAAGCAAATGTGCATTTCAAAATCAACTTATAAAAACTATATATTTAAATTTAAGTAATAATCTTTGAACTTCATTATCACACTATTCTTAAGTAAAGTTATAATGTTTATATATCAAAGGCCCATTTGGTAGAATAAATATATTTTGATGAAAAGAACTGGAAGGAAAAGGAAAGAAAAAGTAATGATCATTGCTAACACACGTTCAGTATGAAAATGGAATAAAGATAATTTGATGGGTAAATTCATGTTTTTGTGTGAGGTATATAAAAATAGAATAAATGGTTATAAAAAAAATATTTTGTCACTATTTTTATTAATATTTATATATTAAAATAATTATTATGCTCATAATCATTTTTGTAAAAGTGGTCATTCTATTTTATAATTAATAAAAATTAGTTAAAATAATAATTTATTGTTGACTATAAACAAATTAATGAAATGGGTAATATAAATTTTAAACAAAAAAACTTACATTACTTCAATCCGATGAAGATTGCAAAGCACAGCAAGAAGAGATTAAACTAAATTGATTAAATTTGATAATCCTATTAAATTCATGATATGATATGGATCAACTAAAATTTTCCTAAAATTAATTTGAAACATGACTATATAGGCATCTCACTCTAGGCATTTTCCTAAAAAAGGACCAATTTTTCTTAGTGGGGGTGATGGGAGTCCAAGAAGCAAATTTGCACAATATCAAACCATATAATCTTTACATTCCCTCTTCTTTCCTTTAGATTCCTACCAACCAAACAAGCGCATTTGGTGTCCCATCTTTAACATGTTTGATTGATTGGAGAGATTTGCAGAGGGAAGGGAAGATTTTAATGAGTTTAATTTTTTTAAAAATGGACATGTAGGGTTACAAAAGTTTAATGAGTTCACTCTCAAATCTCCATTTTTTAGAATCAAATTTATTAAAATATTCCCTTTCCTCCCTTTCCTTCCATTCCCCTCCAATCAAACAAAGAATAAGAACTAAGAAGGATTCCTGCAGGAGAGTGCACAATATACTTTCTTATGCAACCAAATAGATCAATCAAAATTGCAAGTGTCAATATTGCAGCTATAAGGTTTCCTCAATAATGCTTCAGAATGCATGCTTAATTACTAGAAATCAATCAACGAAACTGTGAGTTAATTAAGGTTAGTTTTATGAAAATGCTTTGTCAAATTATTTTTTTCTTTCTTCCAAATCCAGCTTTCTTCTCATAGTCCAACCAGAACTTCCTTGCTTCTTCTACAACGTCAAATTCTTTGCTTAATTATTCTTAATATAAAATCTTTCTCCATTTCATATGATATTGAACAATTACAACATTGACACTTGCAGGGTGCGAGGACAAGGATCGAATCCACATCCCCATTTCTCTTCAACCGGCCGTTTTCCTTAAACAAAACAAATAGATGTGAAATATTTTTCAAAATCAATGCAAAATAACATCTACTTACCTTAGTATCATTACTCTCTGAAACTATATGTGAGAGAGAGAGTAGAGAATTCAATTTATTAGTCTATTGATCCTCCGTCTCCATTCCAACTCGCATGAACTCATCTTTTACCATTAATCCCTAATTCCAATTAGTGCCAAACCCTAAAATTTTGAATATATTTTCTTCGATCGTCGACATTAGACAAAATTTAAATTTTTATTTTTAATATAAGATGAAGTTAGAGAAATTAATATTTTTTCAATTTTACTCATTGTTTATTTATTTATTTTTGTTTGAATTCCTAAACAATAATTCATTATATTATTCATTAAATATTAATTACAAACAAAGACAAAATTGGAAAGTTACATATTTTTACAATTTTAAAATTATAACTAACATTTTTACTAAGTACGAAGTTTGTTAACTTTGCTTTTTATTAATGACTGGAGTCATATGACATTAAAGTATATCACATGTTATTACAAAAACTATCAATATACATCATAATTGTCAATGTTTCACATGTCCAGTGTTCAAATCGACATTGAGAGATAGGAAAATTACACTACAATTATTTTTTCAAGAGTTTCATATTTTAAAAACATCAAATGATTTCTTCTCCACCCCCCAATAATACTACTACGTACCAACATATTCTCTCTAGGAAAAGTTTATAGGATACATATACATGTGTTAATAAAACTAATTCAAACCCAGGATTATATGGAATAATATTATCTTATTTAAATCCATCGATGTTAAGAAAATTTTCCCTTCAAACAATATTTAAAATTACACCCAACAGAAGTTTAACAGATACAAAAGTTCATATAAAAACGCAACGTGACATAGCTTTGCCTGGATGCTCTAAATGATTAGAATTCCCCACATCCCATAACTTGAGAAAATAAATGTCTAGCTTTTTGACTTGTGATGACAACCCTACATCTATATATATATTACTTAGCTTCAAGTCTTGAAGAACTTGATGCCACCACTACATATAGCAAAACATTACCCATGTGCTTAGCAAGAAGAATCCTTCGCCAACTATACAATTTTCTCTACTTTAAGTCAATCCAATGAAGAGGTGGGGCAACACTACTACCTTTCACTCAAAACTCCCAATATATATATATTTTTTTTTGGTTAGGTTGTTGAAGTATGAGTGAATTTGAGTTGATGTAAGAAATATCACATAGAATAACCTTAAACTTAATAATTAATATATAATAAAGATAAAAAGACATATAAATATCACATCTTAACTTAAAATATTAAAATTCAAGTTTATGGTCATTTCTCTTTATTTTATATTAGTTATTAAGTGTAACTAATTTATCTGATGTGGCACTTTTCATGTTAGCTTAAATCCGCTCGTACTTTGATAACCTAACATTTTTCATAAATAAGCTATGTATACATGTTTTATGATGACATGCTAATAATAAAAATAAATTTTATATTTTATATTAATTAACTAAATAAATGTAGAACATATGCATGAGTGAAGAATGCTTCACCGTACATTTTCTTAAAAATTTATATATTGATTAGCCTAGCTAGTTAATTTTTTTTCCTATAATTGTGGAAAAGTCAAATGTTTCATATCTTATATCAGCATAATTGGATTTAACAGAAGAGACTGGCTATTTACAATATGATGACAAACTAATGTTCAAATTTTTATTGAAAAAGGTGCCTACTTATTTAGTTCTTGACCGTATCTCGGATAAGATTACTTCAATAATAGGACAATTGCTCAATCTAAAAATGAATTAAGGCATCTTCTATATTCTTTTTATTTCATCTATAAAAAGGGAGACATGTAACAAGTTGGTATGCTCACTCTCTCACAAACGTAACAAATCAAGCCTTTAATTTATAAGTTTTTCAGATTTTGACAAGTTCTATAGAACTTGATCGGTACTCTAAAGCTCATCATCAATGGCAGGCTTTGTTTATCATCTAACAGAACAGTTGCAACACTATGGTAGAGGTAACAATAGTAACATACATATGGAAGCACCGTATTATGGATATGGCTTCTGTGACAACCATGGCGTTCATGATCAAAATATTGAAGGTTTCACTTATCAATATGGTGTCTTGAATGGTGTAGGTAATGTATCATTCTTCTTCTCTCTCTCGGTCACACACACACACTCCCTAAGTCAAAATTGTCATTAAGGGATTTGATACAGTGAATAGTACAAATCCATACTTACTCAACAAGTATCTCACATGATAGGATAATAACTATTGTCAAAAATTTTGTCATATGATACTTAGAAAGCACTAAATGTCCAATTTATGGTGGGGATATCATACGTATGTGAGGAGCATTCTGATTATAAGGGTTGTTTTGGATTTATTTCAAGGAAAATATATCTTAATAATTTTCAAGTTTTGATAAAATTCAATAGCTATAATTAGAACATTAATTGAATGAGTGAATTTAAGCCACTCATTGGATCCCAATTTTTTTAAAGAGATATATTGTTTAAAAATATAAGAAAATTTGGTTTTTTAATTTTTATGAGGAGTGGTTAATGGTATTTTTTTTTCAAAAATTTCCTCAAGATTAATATTTGAAATTAATGAGATTTGGATATTTATTTGTGATTAGGTTAGCTTTTAAATAATAGTAGACATGCAAATAGTAGGTAGTTTTTAATAATGATGTTAATTGTTTTCTTGGGAGGTAGAAATTAGTTAGAATGTATTGTAATTTTGAACTGAAAATGAGAGAGAGAGGAGGGGGGGAGAGAGAGAGAGAGTTTGTGTGTGTGTGTGTGTGTTTATATTGTAAAGCTTCTATTCAATATATAGCAAAACATGGATTTTTTGGGTTAGTAATGGATTCTTTGTTGGTAAAGAAGTGTTGCGAATCACAACCACACAATTTATTTGGTTTTATGTTCTTGACAACGCAGAACAATATTATAAGTTAGCAATATTTCTAATAATTGCAAACCCTGTAATTATTGGAGATCAATTAGTTGTTCAAGTGTGTTAAAGTTGACTGTAATTGGAGTTATATATAGTAATTAATAAATTTGTCAAATATTTGACTTATTTTTACACATGCGTACAGTAGTAATGGAAGGGTTGAAATATATTATAAATATAAGGAGAGAATAATTAGGCATACCTAAACATAAGATTATTTTAAATTAATATCTTGGATGTACGTGCGTAAATCAAAATGGTTAAATGTGCGATTTATAAAATTGTATAGAGAACTATATGATATGTACTTTGACTCCTTAATCAAATTAAGAAATTGATTACAATTATTCCATGAATCGTTCGGTACACAAGTTCATTTTGTCAATAAAATTCTAAGTGATAATTCTTTTTCCTAATATTATTTTCGACAAAAAGGACCCTAAGTTCATTAATTATTGGGATTTTATTGAACTTTGAAATAATGTGCAGTAATTGCTAATATATATAATATAGTATTGTCATATTTTATAAATTCAGAAAGATAATCACAAAACCTTTGTCGTAATTTCATAGAAAGTTCAAAAAAATTATAGATAATTGAAGTATAAATTTGACACCTAATAATTGTTAGTACTATAATTGGTTAAAAAGTAGCTTATTATATTCTACGATGACTCAAGTTCAAATTGATCTCATTGTTATTGTATTGCGTGATGACTTCGTTAGCAAGTAATCTATAAGTATGTTTCTAAATACTCTTAAGTCATGGATTGTAGAAACTAATCCACCCAATCTTACATACAATTTAGTTGAATTCATGCAGGTCATTCTCAACCAGTTCAATGGCCAATGCATTGTCAAGGACCAAACGGTCTAATACATAGCCATAGTTCAAGTACATCAGTCCATGTGGGTTCAAACCCATATTACATCAATAGAGGCATCCAAACCATTCAAGGTGATGTGGTTCAGCATGGTACCTTCAATGGACGTGGCATGGGAGCGAGGGTTCGTGGACACTTCTCTGTATCTGGTGATATTAATTAATTAACTTAAACCAATTTAATACCTACTTAAATTGATTGAAAGTCATACGAGATGAAGACATAAAATAACATAAAATGAATTTAAAAAAAAAAAACAGCTATGCAAACATTAATGTATTAGTGGATTGGATTCTATAGAGTTGTTATCGTGATTGTGATTTTTTTTTTTGTTTAATGAAATATTCCTTTGACATACAAGTCTGAAAGCATTTGGGGAGACTATTCATGTTTAGCTTTTGCTTTTGTTTTATTTTAATTTTCTTTTTACCAAAGTGATATAATTAACTTGCCTTTTCTATTAGAAGAAGAAATTGCAAGCATGTGTGTGTGTGATTGTACTGAATTTATATAATTAATTAACTATGAGTTTGCTGCTGATCGATTGTCTATGATTCGATTCTTTTAACACTGTTAGTTGTATAATTGTATTTTCTCTTTTATGTCGTTAATTAATTATAATTCTTTTTAATTCAATCTATATATTTAATTATGTAAAAATTTTGTTAAAACTAAATAAAAATCATAAATAATACGATTCATTCCTTAGACTTCATCCCACACAATAGAAATACTAAGTATAATCAAGTTGGGTTAATTGAATACATTAATTAATTTGGTGTTGATTTCTTATAAATAAAGAGAAATAAAGACGATAAATGTCCATGACAAATCCCACTAATTATTACCAATTAATTTGTATATTTCTATCCAGCTATTCAAATTCCAGCGCTAAAAGACATTCGAATTGTGATGAGAATATTGGAATCCTGTATTTACATATAAGAAAGTTAAAAAAATATAAGAATTAATTGGTAATATAAGAAGGTTTGAAAAAATATGTTCGAATTGATATGGAACATCTCTTTACTCCTGTGTTTTCATATGTTGTCAAAAATGAAGTTAATTGGATTTTTAGTGAGAGGAAAATTCAATAATTAAAGATAGTAATTGGCAAGAGTTTTTTCACCCAAAAAAGAAAAAGATAGTAAGAGTCTATTATAGCAGCTATCCAATTGCAACTTATGAGAGTAGTTAATGAAACGATGTTTTTATTTTTTTTCTCTATCATCCTTAATTTATAAGATATTTTTTAGTAAAATTATGTATATCAATAAAATTTATTAAATATAATTTATAATTTTATTTTTTAAAATAAAAATATAAATTTTTAAAATATTTTTTATTTAATATAATCTTATTCGTGAAACATTGAATGTAGAAAGAGGCAATATAACAAGAAAAGATGTGTAATATTAGAATAAGTATAATTAATAAAATTTTTTTTTTTTTCGAAATACCTTATATCTTGGGACACCAAATTACCTTAAAAAATATATTATAAACTGATTTAGTTATTCATAAATATGAACGACTGTGAGGAATTTGTATATATTGGAGGGAAATTATAATAAAGGACTTGGAGAAAATAATATTCATTAGAAAGAATTTTAAAAATAGTAATTATTTAGAAGAACAAAATACTAAATAAAAAATTTATAAATATTATATTACTCCTAATCAAATCTGGTACATTTTTTCTTATCACATCTCACACATGTATTTGATAGTTACTAACAAAAACACATAATTTGAGAGAAAGCTATTTTCTTAAAATAATAAAGAGATGAAAAACAACAAATTAAGATAAAGCTAAATTATATTAATGCCCAGAAACCGCAACTAGATAATAATCATATCTCCCTTGAAAGTCCGTATGTAAGTCCAGCGATTGAGACAGGGTGTTGTGCTGACAAAATGTAATAATTCTTTAAAAGTAAATTTTTTATATTAAATTTCCTTAATTTTTTTAAAGTAAAGATTTTAAAATTGTAATGATTCAATTATTTAAAATTAAATATTTTAAAAAATTATATTATATTGATTTAATGAGGAGTAATACTACTTTTTATTTTGTGTGTGGAATTGAAAACTGCACAATTTTATTTTGAAAGAGTACTCTTGTGCCTTGCACAGTATCACACATTAATTTTAAGATTATTATTGACAGATTATATTGTAATAAAGGTTATAAAAATCATATTATAAAAAAAAGTTATGATAATCAATTACATTTGCCTGTATCTTTCATGTATCCTAATTTTAATTTTTATGATCCCTTGTAATGAATTTTAACAGCTTTAGATCCCACTACAACAAATCAACGAATTTCTCTAAAAAATTTCTCTCAAATTTTTATTTGAGAGAATTTCTCTCGAAAAGGCTCTCTTATGGAATTTCTCACATATTTTCTTTCAAAATAATTATCAGTGAAAAATTTTGAGAGAACTTGGAGAGAATGTGCCTGCATCTTGGAGGAAAATGTTTCTCTCGACAAATTTCATAGAAAAGCTTGACAAAAATAAAATTTTGAAAGTAAAAATAATTAAAATAATATTATATGATCTTTCTTTTGAAAGAAATTTGATAATTTCTCATTGTGAATCCACCTCTTAATATGAATTTAAATCTTGCGTGAAGTATAAGGCAATAGCTTTGATTACTTTGCATTGATTCCTTGAACATGTATTTCAATTTCTCACTTTTCTAATTATATGATTCTTAATTCCTATTCTTATATAATGTCCTGATGTAAAACCTGTCTTCAATGCACTTCAGAAATGACAAGCATATATTGCCCCGAAATGCTTCACTCACATATGCCTTTATATTATTCTTTTTATGAGGTGTGGTTTAATTTATTCTAAAAAGTATAAGCTCAATTATCTATAAATAAATAAAATTTAAAAAATTCAGATTTAAATATGTTTTAAAGAGGTATTTTGTATCCTTATTTTTTCAAGACTTAGAATACACTTTATAAATGAAGTATTAGTTATTATCTTATACAAAAGAGTGCATATGAATTTATGTGGTTCATAGAATAATGGAGTTATTTATACAAAATTATAATATTTCATCCCTTATATAAAAAGAAATAAAAATATAATATTTCAATGTATTTTTTTAAGAAAACTTATTTTATTACATATTTATTTATGTTTATCTTTTATAATTAACTTATTATATCAATATCCACACATGTAAATACTGATTTTCTATTGTTAAGCATATTGAAGAGAAAGAAATAACTAGAATGAAATTGAATTATAATATTCATCAACCATGAGCAACAAAAGGGATCATCCCCAAACTATGGCGAGAAACAAATGAGGATTACACCACAATTTTCCTATTTACAAGCCTAAGGTTCAACCATATATTAGGTATAGACTAACAACTAATATCTCAACATCTATAGCCAAGAAATTGTTCACTTTAAGGTATGATTGGGAGTTTAATATGAAAATAGAATTGAACTGTCATTAATTAAATACGATGGAGTTAAATGAAATGGAATATTTCACTATTTGAAATATCACTAAAAAAAAGGCATGCAAGATCTCCTTTATTAAAGCGCTTATTAATGAAAACACTTTGTTTTTTGTGTATGTGAAATCAAAACCTACGAAAACACTTTTGGCAATGAGCACTACGTAGGTTTTACCTGCCGAAACGCTTAAAACCCGGAGCGCTCTAGCTCGTATAGGCGCATTGAAAAAAAAAAAAGTTTTTTAAAAAGATTCCGCCTGTAGCCTGTAGGAATGATTTCTCTTTAATGTTTTCAAGACGGAATCAAATATTAAATAAAAAAGATTAACAGTTTATAATTCATATAATCTAATTAAAGTGAATTAATGGTTGAACACATAACGTAATAATTAAATTAAAAAATTATATTTATATATAATAATTTAAATGTAAAAAATAAATATAAAATTATTACTTAACTTAAAAATAAAATTAAATATTTTAAGTTTATCATGATTTAACAAGTCATATGATGCAATATAATATTAAATGATTAAAAAAATTAATTATTTTTAAAAAAATAAAAAAGTGATATTTTTTAACAGCTTAGTTTTTGAAAGTCAAATTTAGTTCTTGATTTAATCCTAATTTTCAATCTGACCGCCTGTCTAAAATGGCCTAATTCTCAAATGATTTTTTTGATGCTAACCAAGCTGAAATCTAAACCAGTCGGATATCTAAACAGTCCAATCATCTATTTGGATCTAGTTTATTTATAAACCTTTCCATCTTTAAGCCCTAAATCGGCAGCTCAGAAAATTAAAAAAAAATGAATTTATGATGACTACACAAATAACTTGAAAGTCTATCCTAAAATCATTCCTTTTTCTTTGAAAAATTCTCCTGAACAACAATACAAGTTTTTTCATCATTATTCCCCCATTTCATTTCATTCCATTTCTAAATTTCGTACAGTGGGACCCACAATACAGTTCTTATTTCTTTCTTATCCTCAAGTTCCTGCCTCTATAAAAGGGATCACTCTCCATGGCTTTTTTGGGCAACAGAAGGGAGAAAAAAATCACTTCTTATAGCTCAAATTGAACTTGGTGTTTGCTTCTACATATATAATCATGATTCAAGAAGTGATCATCATCATCATCTGGTAATCCTTCTTCTAGTGCTAGGGTTAGCGGTTATATCACCATGAATAATAATAATGGTGGCTCTTATCAGCCTCAAATATCTCAGCCGCCCTATTATTATTCTAATGCTCCTTATGCTTCACCACCAACCATGGCGCCTGCACTAGGGCACTATAACAGTGGCTCTCAAACTATTGACGGCGGTGGAACGACTCAAACAGGTACCTTCAAGGGTCACGGCGTCGGAGCCACCGTGCTCGGTGGCTTCACTACCACAAGCTCTATTCAGTAGCCATGCTAAATAATTGCAATGCAACGCTTGAGAGGGTCCCACCACCACCAGCTGGAAAAGATCTCTTGATATAGTTTAAGGATGAAGTTATTAGATCCCTATATATATATATATATATATAGTCTACGTATGTGTGTGTAATATATAGTTACATGTTTTAAAATAATGTTTTGGTCCTGGTTTTGTCTGGATGAACATTAGGGTTTTGTTTATCTGGAAAGATCATTATTAGGACCTTATTAGGATTTGAAGGCAAGTAGAAATCATGAAAGAGTGGGTCCTACACCTACTTCTTATTTCGTATATCAGACTTGGTGGGACTGAAGCTTATGATATTAAATAAACTCAGCGTTGCTGATGAAGATTTGTATCGTGTGCAATATGGTTTATTAATAAAATAAAATCTTCAGTTATTACAAGCTTGTAACTATACAAATTAAGTACTTCGTCATTAATGAATTGTGAATGTGTGTGTGTGTGTGTGTGTGTAAAAAACCAGTTTGTTGAGTTGTGAATTGCGATTCGTGTAAC